TAAAACTTACCTAGCTATAGAAAGTTATTTACATAAACTTTACCAATCAAAGCAAAGTTGGGCCTATTGTTTTACAACACAAGTTTTTAATGCTAGAATTCAGAGTACGCAACGTGTAGAATGCTACAATAACCTTATTAAGTCTAGTGTTAACCAAATATCGTCTTTGATTAAACTAAATAATGCAATTCAGAAGCATCTTGATTTAGAAAATAAGTATGGTCATTCTCAAGAAACTATAAACTTTGATCATAATGGCAACTTACAATCAATAAGTAGAACATTATTTCCTGAAATTATTGTAATATGTAAAAAATACCTTACTTCTCATATAATTGCTAAAATAAAGCAACAAATTCAACAAGCACTTTGGTATAGGTGTTATTCATATAATATTTTACAAGAACGTTATAACAATGAACCTGAACTTACTGACGAATGTATTAAAGACAATTATGACTCGCAACAAATACATATTAACTCTATGCTAAACAATATATCAGATGATAAAATTCAAGAAGCTTGGCATGTAGTTAGACTTATAGGTTCTGCAAATATACACTATATTATTATATTTAAAAATAGTTCATTTTTATGTACATGTACTTAGCCAGTTAGTCATGGAATTGTATGTTGGCATTACTTTGCTGTTCTTTTAGAATCAAATGTAGCTATTTTCTATATCTCATTTATAATGCAACAATGGTATAAAGATGCATATTTTAATGAACCAGAAGACACTTTCAATAATATTTTACTAATTCGACCACATAATAATAATCCTAATAGACCTGTTACACCAATTTAATCTAATCAAAATATATTATTCAACCAATTTGATCAACTTACCTCTATACATAAGGCTTCAGGATCCAAAAAACCCAATAAAAAATTTCTACAAGATCGAATACATTATAGTAAAAGTTATGGATTGTTGCAAACCATTCTAATATTAGCAATAGAGACCAAAACTGATGAGGAAGTAAATGATTGGTGTCATCAATTTATTCAGCAAAAGAAAGAGCTTCTAAAAGCTGATACTGCATCAAGTTAAGATCAAGAAAATATTATTTAAGTAATTAATCCAAAAGTTATGCCAGTTAAGGGCCGACCAAGTAGAAGACAGAAGAGTGTACTTGAACAAGAAGCTAAAAAACCATTAAGTACTAATTATGAAAATGCCAATCAATATACTTGCT